AATTTAATTTTAAAAGCTGAAAATAGTCATTTACATAATGATATCTAAATTCCGATTGTACGATATATATATATATATATATATGTGTGTGTGTGTGTGTGTGTGTGTGTGTGTGTGTGTGTGTGTGCATAGATAAATACAAAAATGTATGTCTTTATATGCTTATACATGTAAGACTAATTCCATTAATAATTTTCTTCTTTCGTTGTCCTTTTATCTTTAAGATTAATTTGAAATCGTTTTATGTCAACATAAAGATAAACAAATATTCATATATATATATATATATATATATATATATATATATATATATATATATATATATATATATATATATATACATGTGTGTGTGTGTTTTGTGTAGACTCCGTAATAAAATCTACTCAGATTATTGGAAGAAATCATTTGATTTTGACTGCTTTTTGCAATCAATGTCTGCGACGACCTTTGCCGACATAGCATCAAAGACTTGTTGGATGTCAGTGGAGCGAATTCACACCAACACGAGTCAGATGTCTGATGTCTATGTTTCATTAAAAACAACTGACAAGGTACGATGCTTAAGTGTTTTTTTTTTTATTTCATTCTTCTTGTGTTCTTATAATTTTCTTCTTTACTGAAAGTAAATTTTGTAGAAATTGTACAAATGTCCTACTCAGTCGCTTTTAATGAAACTTGTATAAAAGAGACCCCAAAAATCATATATATATATATATATATATATATATATATATATATATATATATATATATATATATTAAACATATATTTTCATAGAAAATACAGAATATTTTCTATGAAAATTTCTCGGACATTCAGGCCGGTAAATCTGTTTATAATAAACAGTATTAAATAATACTGTTTATTATAAACAGAGCATTTACTTAAATACACACGCACTTGCCCGCCGGGGCTCATACAAACTTCAACATATTTGGACAGTATGGGACTTGACATATGGATGTATATGTAAGCCATTGTCTACATATATACGTATTTCGTTGCTGAAATTCAAAGATGTGGTGTGTAGCGAATATTTCTCGTGAATGTATACATATCAACAATCAGACCATTTTTCTATTCATTCGCTGAATAATATTTCCTCGCACGCACGTATATAACGTGTGGTGGAGGTCTGTAAAAATATGATAGGTAAAAATTACTATTATTTTTAATTTTTTAAGGCTGATTTGTTATTATTTTATCGCTGTTTTTGATGACTGCGTATATGTAACTGGTAGAAATTGCAGTTTGTAATCCTTATTAGTTTTTATTTGGTGGTATTAAATATGCTGGGGAGAGGAGGAATAATTTACGTTAATAATTATAGTGGATTGATATGTTAATAGTAGATGTGATGTGGTAGTAACGGTGTTGGGCGATTGGTGGTAAGGATAATATTAGTAGCTAATAGTTATTGTAAAGTGGTAGAAGTGATTAGTAATGGTGGTGGAATGATAATAAATTCTGATAATAGGTATTTATTCTCATGCCTACATTTGGAAATTATCTCAGATCTTTTCTTTAGTAAATTCTTTTGCGGGGTATGGGATATTATTGCTAATTTTTCGTGTAGGAAAAGTAGGCATTTTTTGTAATGTTGCTGTAAAATACAAAGTTTTTAAAAGATTAATCAGTTTGTCTGACGATCGCAAAGGGGCGTGAAACCCAGGGTCACAAACTCACATCATTTCAACCAAATATGTTAGCTCTATCTCTGATATTGAGCGCTTTCTAATAAGTACCGCGCATATAATATAAATAAATAATTATATATATATATATATATATATATATATATATATATATATATATATTATTTATATTTATATACACACATTTTTCACACACACAAACACACACACTCTTAATTGTTTTATAACCTTGCACGCAGAACTTTTCACTGCCAGTTCAAGAAAAACATTTGTGTCACTAACACACAAAAAAAGAGAATGTCTCATATCGAGAATATTTAAAATCGAAAAACATAAAGGAAAAAAATTAATTATTTTTAATAATATGTGGAAATCTCCACCCTTTGCCTGATGACGGTCGCGAGACCGGAAACACGTGTAGCAAAATTATGGAAAATAAAGCATGATAATTTTTTTTTAAAATCTACATTACAACCAAAAACGTTTGCGGTTTCTCTCTTCTTTTTAATATACACACTTTTCTTTCGTTCGAACTACTAAAACCTCTATCATTTATATATATATACATATATATATATATATAATCACGTATTCCCTTTCTATTTAAGAAAAGGTACGGACAAACATATTCTTATTTTCAAAGAACAGTATTGAGAAAATTCTAAGACCAAATGAAAAAAAAAAGGTTATTTGTGATGCGTCTCATCCGTTAGGAGTAGATTGCAAAAAAATTATTTCATAAGATTCTTTCAAAACATTTTGAAATTATCAGTGTTTCTCGATCATGCGCATGTGTAGTGACAACAATGTCAACAAACCCAGTCTTAACGGATGAGACGTGTCGTAAATAAAGATCCAAACAACCATAGGGAGGTCGAAGCATGATAATCATGATGATGATGATGATGATCTATCTATCTATCTATCTATCTATCTATCTATCTATCTATCTATTACCACTGACAGTCCTTTATCTATCTATCTATCTATCTATCTATCTATTACCACTGACAGTCCTTTATCTATCTATCTATCTATCTATCTATCTATTACCACTGACAGTCCTTTATCTATCTATCTATCTATCTATCTATCTATCTATTACCACTGACAGTCCTTTATCTATCTATCTATCTATCTATCTATCTATCTATCTATCTATCTATTACCACTGACAGTCCTTTATCTATCTATCTATCTATCTATCTATCTATCTATCTATCTATTACCACTGACAGTCCTTTATCTATCTATCTATCTATCTATCTATCTATCTATCTATTACCACTGACAGTCCTTTATCTATCTATCTATCTATTACCACTGACAGTCCTTTATCTATCTATCTATCTATCTATCTATCTATCTATCTATCTATTACCACTAACAGTCCTTTATCTATCTATCTATCTATCTATCTATCTATTACCACTGACAGTCCTTTATCTATCTATCTATCTATCTATTTATCTATCTATTACCACTGACAGTCCTTTATCTATCTATCTATCTATCTATCTATCTATCTATTCAGTCTATTCAGATTTATCTATCGATGTCTTGTTCAATATTATCTATCTATCTATCTATCTCTGTTCATATCTATCTATCTATCATTCTATGTCAGTCTATTCAGATTTATCTATCGATCTATGTCTTGTTCAATATCTATCTCTCTATCTATGTATCTATCTATCTGTCTATCTATCTCAGTCTGTTCATATCTATCTATCTATATATATATATATATATATATATAAAAAAAGTTTCAAATTAAAAATTATAATGTTTTATTTTATGAAAGTATTTATTTATTTATATATAAATAAATAAATACTTTCATAAAATAAAACATTATAATTTTTAATTTGAAACTTTTTCTATATATACATATTAAGTGTCGAACAATCACGTGGTCAAGATAAACACTCAGTTGTGGAGCAAGCTGAGTGAAGAATGATTCAAATTGAGGAAGAGAGTTATTTATGATGCAATGGAGCATCTCATTATGCTAAAGTGGGATAGTCCATTGCTTGGGCTTTGATTGGCTGCTGGTACCTGAGTGGAAGTATTTCTATATAAATACCAGCTTAATTTCAGTTAGTTTGCAGGGTTTGTATTAGGTTACAACCTGCTTTATTTTTGTCTGCCAGCTGGACGCTAGCTGGAACTCTTACGCCGGTAAGTGTCGTTTATTGTATTGTATTGTATTGTTATTCTACATTAAGAAAGTATACGTGGCTTCTCATTATGCTATATATATATATATATATATATATATATATATATATATATATATCAGTCTGTTCATATCTATCTATCTATGTCAGTCTATTCAGATTTATCTGTCTATGTCTTGAAAGACAATTGATGTAACATACAAATCTACTTAGAAAAATCCAGAATATCAGTTGCAGATCCCAAGCATCGGTTTCCACAATTTTCAGAGAACTGAGACGATTCTCTCTTGAGCTCCAACAAAAACGATTACAATTTGCCCGCCAATGACACCAAACGGACAGGGGATTCATCTCATGCTAATTCCTATGGCATCCTTCTGTAAGTGTCTTCTCATGAAAATTATCTTCCCCAGACACCATAGCTCGAAACTCAGTCGGACATTGTGGATCTGCGGACAGCAATGCAGGACCGAACAGTGTGGAAAAGGGATTGTTAATAGCGTTCCGAACAACCACAGAAAGGTCGAAGGATGATGATGATCATCATGATCATGATCATGATGATGATGATCTATCTATCTATCTATCTATCTATCTATCTATCTTTGACAGTCCATTATCTATCTATCTATCTATCTATCTATCTATATATATATATATATATATATATCATATCCTGTTCTATCTATCTATCTATCTATCTATATATCTATCTATCTATCTTTGACAGTCCATTATCTATCTATCTATCTATCTATCTATCTATCTATCTATGTCAGTCTATTCTGATTTATCTATCTACGTTTTGAAAGACAACTGAAAGGAACATATACAAATCTACTTAGAAAAATCCAGAACATAATTTGGAGATCCCATGCAATTCTTAACACAATTTACGAAGAACTGAGACCAATCTCCCTTAAGCTCGAACAAAAACGATTACTGTTTGCCTCCCACTGACAACGAGCGGACAGGGAAATCGATTCATCCTTACTCCTATGGCATCCTTCTGGAAGTGTCTTCTCACAAAAATTGACTTTCCTCAGACACCATAGCTCGAAACTCGGGACACTGAGGGTCTGGGGACAGCAGTGCAGGACCGAACAGTGTGGAAAGGGATTGTTACTAGAGATCCAAACAATCATAGAGAAGGATGATCATGATGATGATCTATCTATCTATCTATCTATCGCAGCCTCCCTTTCTTTATTTCGTTCTTTCTTTTTCTTATTTTGTTTTTTTTTTAAGTCTCTCTCTCTCTCTCTCTCTCTCTCTCTCTCTCTATCTCTGCCTAAGTATCCTCCTTTCTTTCTTTCTTTCTTTCTTTCAATCTATCTATCTATTGTAGCATCCTTTTCTTTCTTTCATTCTTTCTTCCTTTCTTTCTTCCTTTCTTATTCTGTTGTAAGTCTCTCTCTCTCTCTTTCTCTCTCTCTAAGTATCCTCTTTTCTACCTATCTATCTATCTATCTATCGCAGCTTCCCTTTCTTTCTTTCTTTCTTTCTTTCTTATTCTGTTTTTAAGTCTCCCTCTCTCTCTCTCTCTCTCTCTCTCTCTCTCTGTGTCTAAGTATCCTCTTTTCTATCTATCTATCTATCTATCTATCTATCTATTGTAGCATCCTTTTCTTTCTTTCATTCTGTCTTCCTTTCTTTCTTCCTTTCTTATTCTGTTGTAAGTCTCTCTCTCTCTCTCTCTCTCTCTCTCTCTCTCTCTCTAAGTATCCTCTTTTCTATCTATCTATCTATCTATCTATCTATCTATCGCAGCCTCCTTTTCTTTCTTTCTTTCTTATTCTGTTTTGTAAGTCTCTCTCTCTCTCTCTCTCTCTCTCTCCTGTCTAAGTATCCTCTTTTCTATCTAACTATCTATCTATCTATCTATCTATCTATCTATCTATGTTTTGAAAGTCAACTGAATGGAACATATACAAATCTACTTCGAAAAATCCAGATCATCGGTTTCAGATTCCAAGCTACGCTCAATACAATTGACAAAGGACTGAGACCAATCTCCCTTAATCTCAAATACTGTCTCATCCTAATTCTTATGTCATCCTTCTGGAAGTCTCTTCTCACGAAAATTGACTTTCCCATTCACCATAGCTCGGGAATCAAGGTTGGACATTAGGGATCTGGAAACAGCAATGAAGGACCAAACAGTGTAGAAAAGGGATTTTCAATGAAGTTCCCATCAACAATGATGGTGAAGATGATATAAAAAATAATGACTAAGATATTCGTTGTACATTTTTATGTTTTTATTTAGTTAACGTGTCCCAGAAAGGTAGAGTTCTCGGAAATTACTATATTTGTAGTTCCTCCTGCATCTTTTTCGATGCTTGCTATTGAATCGTCTTTTTTTTTACCGTAGCCTCAAGCTCAGCCATCTTCTTTTACCTGAACTTGGAACCTGGTTTAAATTCAGAATTGTCCTTCTCCTAGATTGGTTGCCATCCGAAAGAGAAATGTCTGCCCTGATATTTTAACTATAGCCTGGTAGATAAAAGATGGATTCATGGTGGATAGCGACTCGGATTGAGGAATCGGAAAGCCGAGTTCAAATTCCAGTCGAATCCATTACATTCACTTACGTGCTAATACCCTTGGGAAAGGTACGAATCCTCTTATTCTCCATCCCCCCCAGCTATGGGTATATAGCAGGACAGATCGGATTCAATAGCCTTGGATGGCAACTGGTCTACCGCAGAAAGAAACGGTAACCTACTGGGAGAAAAATATCTGCCTCGTCAGTCATGTATCGAAAGATACTTGAACGCCTAAGCGTGTATCCCGCATGGCACGTAACTGACTGACTTTCACCTAATACAAGGCCTCTGTATATATCTATCTATCTATCTATCACTGTTCATATCTATCTATCTATCTATCTATGTCGATATCTATCTATCTATGTTCATATCTATCAATCTATATATCTCTGTTTATATCTATCTATCTATCACTGTTCATATCTATCTATCTATCTATCTATCTATCTATCTATGTCGATATCTATCTATCTATGTTCATATCTATCAATCTATATATCTCTGTTTATATCTATCTATCTATCACTGTTCATATCTATCTATCTATCTATCTATCTATCTATCTATCTATGTCGATATCTATCTATCTATGTTCATATCTATCAATCTATATATCTCTGTTTATATCTATCTATCTATCACTGTTCATATCTATCTATCTATCTCGGTTAATATCTATCTATCTATCTCTGTTCATATCTATCAATCTATCTCTGCTTATATCTATCTATGTATCTCACTGCATATCTATCTATCTATCTATCTATCTATCTATCTATCTATCTATCTATCTCTGTTCATATCGATCAATCTATCTATCTATCTCTGTTCATATCTATCAATCTATCTCTGCTTATATCTATCTATGTATCTCACTGCATATCTATCTATCTATCTATCTATCTATCTATCTCTGTTCATATCGATCAATCTATCTATCTATCTCTGTTCATATCTATCAATCTATCTCTGCTTATATCTATCTATGTATCTCACTGCATATCTATCTATCTATCTATCTATCTATCTATCTATCTCTGTTCATATCGATCAATCTATCTATCTATCTCTTTTCATATCTATCAATCTATCTCTGCTTATATCTATCTATGTATCTCACTGCATATCTATCTATCTATCTATCTATCTATCTATCTATCTATCTATCTATCTCTGTTCATATCGATCAATCTATCTATCTATCTCTGTTCATATCTATCTATGTAGCTAGCTCGGTTAATATCTATCTATCTATCTATCTATCTATCTATCTATCTATCTATCTATCTACGCCCTTATCTACCTATCTCTGTTCATATCTATCTATCTATCTATCTATCTATCTATCTATCTATCTATCTATCTATCTCAGTCTCCTTCTATCTTTCTGTATATCTATTTATCAATCTTCCTTCATCTGAGTTATAGGTATTTTCTTGCATGTAGCTTTCTTCGTTGCTTGTTATTGACTGATTTTTTTGTTTTTTGTATTTTTAACTGGGCAAAATACCAAATCCGGCCCACGTTAATGGCCTCATTGCGAGAAACAACAATCCTTCGTCGCCTCGCACCCGATAAATATTTGCCTCTGACCATACCTTTTCTTGTTCAGGTTTCGTTTCTTTTTTTCTTTTTTTGTTTTTTTTTTGTTTTTTTTTTAAGTGGCAATACCTGATTATGTTCCTATACCTGCTTATATATTCTTCCATGTTTCAGTTTTCATTACTATTTTCCAGTCATATATATGCATCTACATAGATGTTTATTCATTGTATAATTACTTTTCTCTTTTTCATTAAAACTACTTCGATCGTTTTAATCATTATGGCTATTAATATCGTCATCATTTTTATCATTATTCTTCTGCAACTTAAATTCAATCTGTTATTATTTAATTTTAAATTATAATTTTTAACCCGTTTCTTGAGTGATCTTTTTTCTAAACGCTTCAGCTTACTCGCCGGTAATTTTAATAATTTTAGTCGTCCCTCGAAATCATCATTCCGTAATTTCAGGTAATTAAATGTTTAAATTGCGTCGGTCGCCTGTTACACATAGATAGATAGATAGATAGATAGATAGATAGATAGATAGATAGATAGATAGATAGATAGATAGATAGAAACAGAATAAGAAAGAAAGAAACAGAATGTGATAGATAGATAGATAGATAGATAGATAGATAGATAGATAGATAGATAGATAGATAGATAGATAATGGACGGGCTGAGTTAGAGAGAGATAGAGAGATGAACTGGCTGAAATAGATAGATAGATAGATAGATAGATAGATAGATAGATAGATAGATAGATAGAAACAAAATGAAAAAGAAAGAAAGAAAAAGAATGTGATAGACAAAAATAGATAGATAGATAGATAGATAGATAGATAGAAACAGAATGAGAAAGAAAGAAAGGAACACAATGTAATAGATAGAAACAGAATGCGATAGAAGGAAGCAGAATGTAATAGATAGATAGATAGATAGATAGATAGATAGATAGATAGATAGATAGATGTTGAGTAAATATAAAACATAAAATCTGCACCATTCATGGTGGCCCGTTTCACAAGCAGTCGATAAAGGACTTTGAAAAGTATCCCTTTCACACTTTTCAGCATGATGCGGACAAATCACCTCTTACGCATACAGAAAGGAGAGAAGAAAAGGAACGTCTAAGTAGACAAGGGACAATTGAATAGAAAATCGTGTAAACAGAGTGAATGACGTTTGACTCGAGAATCTATTGTAAATCGATTCTTCACTTCCGCAAAGAAAATAGAAATGTTTTCTTGATTTCTGGTCATGTACTTTTTTTTCTTTTTTTTTTCACCGACAAATATTGCTTTCTCCATCAGAATGTGCCGGACAAATTTCATTTGTCTTACTTTTCATCAGATTTAAAATGATTGCAATCAAATATGCCAGCACACTCTCACACGACCGCGTACACAAACATACATTATATACATATGTGTTTGTAATTATGAGAAAAAGGATTTCGATATATATATTGTCCTTTCTCTCTCTCCCTCTCTCTCTCTCTCTCTCTCTCTCTATATATATATATATATATATATATATATATATATATATATATATATATATATATATATATATATATATATATATATATATATATATATATATATATATATTAGACGTTTGTTTACATTTGTCAAAACAATACGCTAGATCGAGCTGACTCATTCTGTCGAGTGAAGATAGCTCAGTGGTAGAAACTCTGACTAACACCAAATCGGTTGGGTTTCGATCCGGGTTGTCTAGCCGCACTGAAGAGCGATACAGTACTGTCTGCGAATGACATATATATATATATATATATATATATGTCATACATTTATTATGTCATATATATAGTGAATGACGTTTGACTCGAGAATCTATTGTAAATCACAATGCAAAAACACACGACATCTGATCTCGGAGAAGGACAATCTCTGAATTCAAAACCTGCGGAAGGTTGTTTTAGGGACCTTGTGGAAAGAAAATACAAATTGCATGCAAAATAAATGTAAACAAACAACGGGAATCGGTTGCGTATACGAAGAAAGATTATGCCGAATTAAGGCGTCGAATAAAGATTATAAAAATTCTATTATTTCTAAATTCTTATAACTTTTACATACATAGGACGCTGAAGGTAAAAGCCCTCCACAGGAGTTAGCTTAAAGACCACCCGAAGAGCAGCTTCTAGGTAGTATATTAATAAAAGTTCAATAAACTTATCTCACAACCAACTTCAAATTTTCACGGAATACTGCTCATGGGGGTCAGACGGTCTGATGGGTAACTCAATAGATTTATCATGTCCTTTGACCCTGAAAACTGAATAGGAGTGTCTTGTGATGTGGTATCTGGCAAGGCACAATATTCAGCTAGACCAGTCATTGTAATAGTATTACATTCTTTTTTCTTCTAGAATATTACCCAGGACTACTTATCATGAATGGACAGATTCATTCATGATAGTAAGCAAGGAAACTCTTACCACAACAGATAGAATAAATAAAACGATGAAGAAAACCAAAAGACGAAATTGCAATCTATGTATGGAGGCGAAGCTGAACATCATAGAATTCAAAAAGAATTAAGAAAGATCAAGAACGATTATGGATTAACGGTTTGGTCAATATTAACGATGGATCAAGTACGATGATGGGTTAACAGCTGGATCAATATTGACGATGGATCAAGAACGATTATGGATTAACGGCTGGATCAATATTAACGATGGTTCAAGAACGATTATGGACTAATAGTTGGATCAAGATTAATGATGGATCAACAACGATGATGGATTAACGGTTAGATTAAGATTAACGATGCATTAAGAACGATTATGGATTAACGGTTTGATCAATATTAACGATGGTTCAAGAACGATTATGGGCTCATGGTTGGATCAAGATTAATGATGGATCAACAACGATGATGGATTAACAGTTGGATCAAGATTAAAGATGGATTAAGAACGATTATGGATTAACGGTTGGGTCAAGATTAACGATCGATCAAGAACGATGATTGATTAATGGTTGGATCAAGATTAACGATGGATCAAATACGGTGATGGATTAACGATTGGATGTGCTTTATGATGTAATAGTTATCGTCTCAGGATGATAAATCGGAATGACAAGTTCGAATTTTTGTCGAGTTTGTTACATTCATTTCCCTGTGAAAGATATGAATCCATCTCTTCTTCCCACCCCCGGGTTGAATAGCAGAACAGACTGAGTCCTAGAGACTTGGTCTACTGCAAAAAGAAATGGCAGCCTACTGTTGGAATATCTTCTTCATAGTTAGCCATGAATCGAACGGGAGATGGCCACTCAAGCGTGTATCACTTAACTGACTGAATGGATTAATAAGCAAAAAGAATAAAACTATTTCGAACTGTCAGAGCGCTGATGCAGCCATTTTGAAAAAGATGAAAAAGATCTGTAGGGATTGGGAAGGCACAAGGACAAATATATATATATATATATATATATATATATATATATATATATGTCTGTGTGTGTGCATTTTGAAAATCACACTGAAATGCTTAAATATGATGAACGCAAATTGGAGAAGGGAAAGAAAACATTGTTAATTCTTCGTTTATATAATGGTATTTGTAGATTTTAAGCAATATACATAGTGAATGACGTTCTGCTGGTCATGTGGCAACAGAAAGAAAGAATCTAGCGTAAGCGAGGCAGACGAAAGAAACTTACCTTTACCGTAAAGACACCATAAGAATGTAGGCCTACCAGGTAGGTTATGGTCAGCAAAAATGCATCACCTCCATAAAAAAGTATATGTGTAAAGTGTAACCGGTTACTGAAAATGCATAAAAAAAGCATGCATAAAACGGCACCTGTGTATAGTGTAACACACTATTTTTGCTCAAATCTCGCACCGTACTCCCATATACACAGTAGATTCTAGAAATAAATATATATATATATATAAAACCATTTATTTTGCGTCCTGTGAAATAATTCTAAACAGCGTCGACCAATTATTTAGTTACGAATATTCAACTGATTTGCACCGTTTGGTTTTCAGATCATTAAGTAACATCTTTGGGAATTTTGCTAACTCATCCAGGTCAATCTCGTCCAAATTCTCGTGCTCAATCTCGCTCCCGACAGTCTCGCCTTCCTTTTTATGTGTGGCTTTCGACTCCTTTCCGTCATCTAGAGAGGTCGACAGCAACGCATTTTCGTAATTTTCCGAGATAGTTTCAAGCGTATGAAGACTCAGACCTTTGCTTTCCACCAGGGATTTGTAGTTCTCGTCCAGCAACAAGCGGGCTTGCTTCTCCATGTGCAATGCCTTCTCCAGGGCGCGGTATTCTCGCGCGTTCTCGCGACACTGTCTTAATTCAGCCGACAGGCGTTGGATCGTCACTTGGCAAGTCTCCTCCCTCCTCTTGATTAGATCCAGACACGAATTTAATCCTTTCACGTTCAAGTCCAGGCGCATCTTCTCGGCTTCCAAATCGGAGATCTTTTTCATTAAAAACTTTTTTGTCTTGTCTTCCGCCGCTTTCATGAAGTCATGCGAAATGGCGCGTTCTCGTAGGCACGAGATCATCCTCAATGTCTGCTCGCTATTTGCTGTTTTCTCAATATTCAGTTTTCGTTCCCTGTAGTCTCTGGACAACTTGCGGACCCACGGGTTTTCCTGATATTCCCTTATCACGCTTTTCAAAGGATCTGAAGCTGGTCGTGTGCTCACCATATTAAATATCTGCAATAAATAAACATGTGGAGGTATATTCACTCACACCATGTCACCGTAAGTCGGGGCTTGTGCTCACGAGGGGAAAAAAAGGACAAACAAATGCACACAATAACAAAAAAAACATGGTAAATTGTATGCTAATTTCATACAATTTGTACTTTTCTATTTGTGTGTGTCGGTGTGTGTGTTTAAAATTACACTCGTGAAAAGGTTCATGTTATAAAAAAGGAGTAAGTCGCTCCGTAATATCACAAGTCCTATCAAGGAGGGTTTTTAAACAATTGTTGTCATCCCGACAGTTCTTGGAAAAAGAGACTGTATCTCACTTTTCTTGGCGGGATGACCGTATTTACAACAGAAACTGTCCCTACTGCATGCTGGGAGTAATTTTATTATTTTTATTTATTTAATTCATGTTAAACTAGGTTCAAATTTTATTTTATTAATAATTTTCATTATTATTGTTATTATATATTTGATTTTCATTTATAATACTAACAATGTTCCCACAAAACACATTTTCTCTATATAATTGCTTATATTTAGATAGCATATGTTATATATATCTAGCCACACTGATGAGCTGTGATATATATATATCATATAATATATATATATATATATATATATATATATATATATATATATATATATATATTTCATAAGAAATGAATTTAAAACCGACAAATATTTCATATATTTTCTGATTATACGTTATTTTTTTTTTTATTGAGAATTATTTGAGTAAATGTTCTGTTCTTTTAATTAAATGGTATTAGTTATATTTACCGGCCTGACTTTCCGTAAAATTTCGTAGAAAATATGCGTTTTCCGACAAGAATCGAACCTGTATCCTATACGGAACTACCATTTAACCTAGCGTACCTTGAAGGTTAAGCAAAGCACGAATTATTGCTTTTAAACACACACCATCGCCGATCTATCTCCATCTTTCAAAGTTTGCGTTAGGTTAAAAATTCAGAACAGATATAATAGATCGTTCCAAAATATATTACTACTTTTACTATAAATATAGCTACAATGCATTTTTAACACGGAGGTAGGTATTTTTTATTTATTTATTTATTAGGAGTTGACAGCTCTATTGAAGCTGGAAATTTAACTAATTTTTTCTCTGGGGCTCATATCCGTAGAAAGATACTTGACGAATCTAATGTGAGTGCCTTTTTTATACAGTTCTTTAACTCTCCAGAAATGTTAAAAAATTTAGGAAACCTAAGGTTTAAAATGAATTTTTAAAGATGAAAAATCTTTCTTCAAGCTTTTATT